GGAACATTGTCGAAATTTGCACAGATTGACTCCTTCCTAGAATTCCCTGGATCCCCGAAGGGCAGAGAATTAGGGTGTCAAGGGGCTCCCCCGCACCCGGCCTGATGTCCCGCCGCTTGCTCTGACCCATCTTGTACAGCCTCCAGCCTGGCCCACCTGCCTCTGTGTCAGGCCCCCTGCAGTGAGCGCGTGGGAGAGGAGGCTGGGCTCCCGGAGCCTTTAGTTCTCAGACCCTCAAAATTTCTGCAGAAATCTTACAGTGTGGATCAGGTCTTGCCAGTTTCTCACTCTTCACTGAACCCTGCCTTTGTGCCCCTCCCCGCCCCTGGCAGAGTGATATTCGGCAGCTCCTGGCTGGTTCGCAGGCCCTTTAAGACCTGCCTGGCCTCTGTCCCTTTCTGTCTCCCACCTTCTCGCACCCCATCATACCGAACTTGAGCCCTGAGCTTGAGGCTGCCCTTGTCTTTCCACCTTCTGGCGCCGGCAGGTGCTTTCACTCTGCTTGCCCGGCTCCTGCCGCCTCCACCTACACTGGCTTGCACTGCAGGGCACAGGTAGATTCCGGCAGCAAGCCTGGGAAGAGCGACAGCGTCTTGTTTGTTTGTTTGTTTTATCATACTTTAGCAGCATGGAAAGCAAGCAATTTGCATAGTGTAAAGGATGAAGCAGACACAACAGAGAGAACAGAGATGACTGCTCAGGGTCGGTGTGGGGTCAAAGGAGAGGGGAGTCACCCTTATGGTTCACCTGGGACAATTCCAGGCCAGACTTTCCTCTTGAGAAGCAATCAAGTGCCTGTCCTTGGCACGGGGACTCGTGGGAAAGCTCTTCTGTGGTCAGCTGTGTCCTGGCCTCCCTCTGGACCTGTGGATGACCGTGTCCGAGGCCAGTCCCAGCCGCCGCTCAAGATCTGCTGGGGCAGGGGTGGGGCCGAGTGTCCAGGCAGCCCGTGGCACTGGGAAGAACTAATTTAGCAACCTGGCATTTTAAAGTCAAATTAGGTAATTTGACTTTCAATTCCATTCCATTGCTCAAGAGAGGGTTTCAAAAGCTGCGATAGATTGTCATTTTCCTCTAGAGGAGCCTATGTAAGCTTAGGAAGAAAGAAAAGAAGGCAGGCACCTAAAATAACAACAACCTGGAAGGATTGCTGGCCAGGGAGGCAAGAAACACTCAAAAGCGAAGGTGACTGTGCTATCGCCTTGCAAGATCTGCCAAAGCATTTGTTCTAGATTCTCCATTTGCTTATGCTCCAAGCTGAGGCTCTTCTGAGCAGCTTAGGTAAAACTGGAAAAGTGAGTAGGCTACACTCACTTTTTTAATGACAGCAGAAACATCCAGAATAGAATCTTGAAGTCAATACTACTCATCATACAGGACTTGTGTTAGTAGCTGATTTCCAAAGAGAAACCCAGAGATGCTGTATAGCTGCAAGAGAACAGAAGGTTCCTCACTTGGTGAGTGCCCCCACCTGGGCAGTGGGGCCATCCACTGCCTGACCCTCTGGCGGCCTGCACGATGACCGGCCAGTGATAAAGGCAGGTGCCAAGCTGACTGCTAATCAGATGGTGGGACCAGCGGCTCCTCAGGAGAGGAGTGGAGTGGGCAGCGGGCAGGGGCGAAGCTCATTGAGAACAAGGCAGGATGCAGGGAATGAGCAAAAAATAAACCTGGACTCAGTCTCAATTACAGCTAAGTGTCAGTCACCGGAAAGCAACTTAAAACAGAAGGCAGCCTCCTCCTGGCCCGGCCGCGGTTCCTGTGACCAAGCCCTGCTGCGGAGCTATTCCTGGTCATGGCTGGCCAGCCCTGCCTGCAGTAGAAGGTAAAACTCGCTCGACCTGTGACAGAGGGCCACCCTTGGCTCTGAAGTCCCTATAAGTGTGTGTTCTGGACATGAAATATATGGTTGATTCAAGCAGGCAAGCACTTGTGGTGAGCTGGCAAAATGTAATTAATAAGAAGTCTAGCAGAAGGCAAACGGAGGTCACAACTGGCCTTTGTTGTAGAAAATCCTGAGTTTTTTTTTAGCAATTGTCTGACATATCTCTGAGTTGCTTCTTTAAAAAAAAAAAAGTCTCCAATTTAAACTGCGTGAACTGTATTTCTTCCAAATGGTGCACAAAGCCTTGCTGTGTGGTTTCAGGGACTATAAATGACACTTTTAAGTCAATGTAATTTAAAATCAGAATGCTCTGAAGCCCACAGGAAGGTTTATCCTCAGACACATTGCGTCTGGCTCCAACAACCTGCTTTGCTTTGCTTTGGGGGCAGGAGTCTACCAGTGACACTGTCTGGGTGTGTTGTTATTAAGGCTGATGTGTGAGTGCAGGAGATTTTTCCACTTTGGCGAGCTGGGCTGCCTCACTAAGACTACGTGGAGGGCGGAGCAAGGACCTGCTGTTGGGACAGAGGCGTGCCTGGGTCTGGGGGCTGCCATCATGCAATGACTGTAGACTGGGGACAGCTCAGGGCACACACTGTGGCCAGTCTCCCACTTGGGATTTGGGAGGAATTCCTGAATGTCTAAGTCTTCATGCTCTCATGTGTGAGGGGAGGGTAGCCCCCAATTTACAACAGATCATTCGAAGACTTCCATGAAATAAGAGATGGAGGGCCTGCCTGGTGGCGCAAGGGTTAATGTTTCAGCACTGTGAAGCTATCTCCAGCTATGTAGCAGGAGTTCTATCCCCAGCCAGGGGACAGAACTGTGCTGACCCACAGGGCACAGCAGACCTTTCCTGTCTCGCCTGCTGCTCCCCTCAGCAGTGTATGTCAGTACATCTGCCTGTTCTGCTTCCATCTCTGTCTCTGGTGAATCCTCTCACCACCCCTTGCCAAACCTTTTGCCTACACATGAGTTCTTCTACCACATAAATAAATTTAAAAAGAAAAAAAAATCCAATATTGACCTGTTAGGAGTGCATAATTATCTGAATTTTTTTATAATAGTTTATTTTTACATACTTTTGTGCATTTTTCCATCTCAGTTGCAATCCCCTTGGGTTTCCCATCACCAAATCACCCATGTGCCATCACCATAGTCCAATTATCTGAATTTTAACACACACATTCCATGTAACTATCGCCATAATCAGGATGTGGGTGGTTCAATCACACCCCCCAAAATCCCTGTCGTCACACCTGTCCCTACCCCAACACTGACAGCTGACAGCTTCTCTCCATCACTATGCTTTTTTTTTTTTTTTTGACATGATAGCATGTCAACCTTTGAGAGTGACTTCTTTGACTCAGCTCGATGCCTTGGAGATTCCTCCAAGTTGTTGTATGTATCATGACTTCTTCCTGCTTGTCCCTGGATAGGGATCCATTGTATGGGTACACCACAACTGCCAGCCAACCCTCCTTCCAGAGAACATTTCACTGAACTGTCTGTTAGCTGTTGGAAGAAGAGATGGAGGACCACGGGACTGAGCAAGCTATTATTCAGGAACCTGAAGGACAGTGGCCACGAGGCCAGAGCGCAAGGAAACAGTAGGCTTCCGGGAGAGAGACTGGACAGGACAGGAAGGAGCAGCTGGACATAGTCTGGAGTGAGAGAGCTCAGATGAAGCTCAGGGTTCTGGTTAGGAAGAGAACTGGGATGATGAAATAAGGAATTCAGACAGAGATGATGCAACCATGCCAGAGGCCCAGATTTCTCTTTACCAGGACAGCCCTTCGTGAAAGGCAGGGGAGCGTGTGTGAGGCACTTGGCAGAGACTCAATAAGAGCACATCACTGGGAATGTGGTGTACTTGCTCATACAGCAGACCCCAAAATAAAAAAGACACAGACACCAACTTTGAAGAGTCAGATCTGTACGTTGCATATACTTATGAGAGGTGCTAAACAACAGGTGTGCTGGGTGATTCCAAAGCCCCAGGAACAACCCTGAGCTGAGCCTTGGCTATCTCAGATGACTTCCTGGAGGAGGAGGTGACTTAAGGCCAGATGCAATTTTTTTCCTGAGTAGGACCTTATCCTCCAAATGGAAGCACTTACAAAGTGAATGTTAACCAGGAGGGATAAGGCTGTTTGTCATTTGCAAGCTAGTCTGTGTTAGACAACTAATCCATTAAAGCTATAAATGCTGGGAGAGTCTGAATGGAGGGTGGGATGAAAACCCACCATCTAGGAGCACAGGTGGCTGAATTAGCTCACTTGGGAAAGCTGAGTAAGAATTAGAATCACTAGGATGCTTTTAAAAAGGCTCGGAAAAGTGAGCCTTACCACAGGCCAAAAATCATAGACTCTCTGAGGGGGAGCAATGAAAAATGAAGAAAACCAAAAGCCTCCAGATGATTTAAATGTGAAGATGGTCTAGAATATCCAGACCCCGGAGTATTTGTTCTTGGTCTTTGGTACAAGGAGAGCATCTGCATAGCTGGCAGCAGAACTGGAAGGTACTAAAAGTCACTTACCTACTTATGCCACACAGATGATCTACATCCTCACCCGGGCATTGAGGGTAAGGGAAAAGGAGCAGTGAACAGCACAGTCCTGCTCACCCTTATTCTCGAAAAACCATCTCCGATGGTCCACTGACGAGGAGGTGGTTGTCCTTACTGGTAGCCAGACAATCTTACCACACCCAATACGAACTATAAACAGATTAAAGTCCTGACTTTCATAAAAATAACAGTAACAGGGCCCTTCCTGGTGGCACAAAGGGTTAAAGTGCAGCACTAGCACTATGAAGCTTGTCGCAGCTACTGCAGCACGAGTTCGATCCCCGGCCAGGGAGCTGACCACACAGCGCAGCAGACCTCTCCTGGCCCGCCTGCTGCTCCCCTCAGCAGTGGATTTCAGTAGATTCACCTGTTCTGCTCCCCCTCTGTCTCTGGTGAATCCTCTCGCTGCAACCCCCCACCCCCCCCCACACACCTCTGGCCTGTACCCCAGTTCTTGTATGCATAAATAAGTAAATCTTTTTTTCAAAAAGCAATAATAGCTATATTTCTGAGGCCTTGTTATGGCCAGGTTTTGCATATACTTACAGATTTCTCTCCTTCCTAACAGCTTGGGGAGGTAACCACTGTAGCAGGCCCACTGTTACAAGTTCAAGGTCATGTATCTCCCAGTGGCGAAGCTGTCAACATCCACATTTGTTTGTTTCCATTCTATCAAGTAAATGACCTTGAAAGATCTGTAATGAGGACAAAAGTGACCAGTGAGAAAAATGCCAAGGGACCCAGAAAGAAAAATATGACAATTAAGTGTCTAACAAGTCAGTTAGAAGGAATCATGAAAACTAACCACATGAAGGAAGAGTGAATAAATAGAAATTAGGCCAAGCGCCTATCAGCAAAAGAGCCCAACAGGTCTGAGAGGATGTTTTGTGAAAAGGAACGAGAGGCCCTGCCTTCCTTGACCCGTGTTTTATGTGTGTGCAGGGCTGGTGTTTACAGTGATCCTCAACTCAACTTCCCCCATCCCCCTTGCTGAGTTTTTGACCTCAGGAAAATTGGTCTAACGAGATTGTTTCTGTCTCCAGCTGTCCCCAGTTGCCCATCAAATTCAGCCTTTGCTTCTCCGGAAGCTGTGCTACCTCGCAGTGCATCTCAAATTATCCCAGAGACTGTGGGCTGACGGCTGCCTGCATGTCCCAGCGACACAGACCTTGACCGTAAGCAGTAAGTGCACATTGACTGACTCAATCAATTAATCTGCACAGGAAGAGGTGGAAGAGAGAGAAGCACTAATAAGGGCACAGGATTGTCAAAGGAGGAATCCAGGTCTGAGGCAGAGCAGGCTGACCACCCATTCTGGTTAATGACAGCCAGGCAGGAAGCGGCTTTACACAGGCAGTCAAGGGTCCCTGTAGGTGAGCTAGTCATGGACCCCTACCCCCCAACAACTGGGATTAAACAAAGCCGTTTACATTTAGTCTGGGGTTTAGGTTAGATACAAAGAAGAACTTTGAGGATATAATGTTGGTTTAGTAAAGAAAAAGATTATAGACAAGGTTTTCTATGTCACCCTTCCTGGGTAATGTTGAGGCATAATTATTCTCAGCTCTCACTGTATCCATGATGTATCTAGCTAGCTAGCTATATCTTTTTTTTTTTTTTTAAAGATTTATTTATTTGTGCATACAGAACTGGGGTACAGGCCAGAGGCTCAGGGGCGGCGAGAGGCTTCACCAGAGACAGAGTGGGGAGCAGAACAGGCAGATCGACAAAGTACACCGCTGAGGGGAGCAGCGGGCGGGTCAGGAGAGGTCTGCCACGCCATGTGGTCACCTCCGGGGCAGGCAGGAATCGAACTCATGAGGAAGTGGCTTTAGATTCTCAGTGCTGTGCTTTAACCCGCTGCGCCACCAGGGAGGGCTGCTAGCTATATCTTTTTAAAGATGTATTTATTTATGCACACGGAACTGAGGTACAGGCCAGAGGTGCAGGGGTGGTGAGAGGCTTCACCAGAGACAGAGTGGGGAGCAGAACAGGCAGATTGATGAAGTCCACTGCTGAGGGGAGCAGTGGACTGGTCAGGAGAGGTCTGCCGCGCCATGTGGGTCATCCCTCTGGCTGGGGATCTAACTTGTGAACTCATGCTGAAGCGGCTGTGGCCAGCTTCATAGTGTTGTGCTTTAACCCACTGTGCCACCAGGGAGGGCCCCCATGGCATATATTTATCACTGTTACAATGATCAAGTACCAACTGTCTATGCACGGCAGTGTATTGGGCACTTAAAACATATTATTATTTAATTGAATCTTTTTAGAAATATTCAAAGTGAAATGCTGTTACCTACATGTTACAGGAAACTCTACCATCTGAGGCTTCATTGAGTTATAATCTTTTTGCTGCTGGTGGAGGAACTTGTGAAAAAACAGTCTTGGTGAAGTACAGTAAGTTAGGGTATGCCCATCCATAAGCTCATATGCATTTAACAGAGTCCCAATATCGATGAAACACAAGTGACAGAAATGGAGGTAGAAATAGACAATTTGGCAATAATAGTTGGAGAATTCTATACCTTACTTTCAATATTAGAGTAATTAGGTAGGGCATCAACCAAGAACTAGAATGAACAACATTATAAGCTGCTTATAACTGACAGAACTTAGAACATGTCACACACAGCTGTGGAAAATACATGCTTCTCAAGTGAATGCATGAGCACACTGAAGCTCATGCTCTGTGTTAGCCCATGAAATAGACCCGTTCCTAGAAAGGAATTTGGGCCATCCACAAATGTTGAAAGCTACCCAACACACTCTTAAATAACCAATGAATAAAATAAAACTTCACAAGGGAAATTAGAAAAATACTTTGAGATGAATGAAAGTATACACATGTAACTTACCAAAACTTATGGAATTCATCTAAAGCACCTACTAGAGGAAAATTCATGGCTGTAAATGCCTAGATTAACAAAAGAAAATATTTCAAATCAATATTTGGCTTTCCACTTTAAGACACTAGACAAAAAGAGCAAACTAATCCCAAAGTATGCAGAAACAAAGATATAATAAAGATTATACTGGAAATAAATGAAAGACAAGAGAGAAAAACAGGGCCTCTCTGGTGGTGCAAGGGATTAATCACAGCACTATGAAGCTAACTGCAGCTTGAGTTCGATCCCTGGCCAGGGAGCTGACCCACACGGTGAAACAGACCTCTCCTGTGTCCCGACTGCTCCCTTCAACAGTGTATCTCAGTAGCTCTGCATGTTCTATTCCCCACTCTATCTCCAGTGAATCCTCTTACTATCCCCCACCAACCTCTGGCCTGTACCCCAGTTCTTGTGTGCATAAATAAATAAATCTTAAAAAAATAAAGAAAGCTGATTTCCCACCATGAACCCCATCACCAGCTACTACTCTTCACGGATGACTCATGAACTTGAACCGGTACCGGCATCTCCTGGAGGACTTGCTATACCACAAGTCACTCATATTCTTCAAGTCAGAGGCTCTGGGGTGGCTTGAGGAGTCACACGTGTGGCAAGAGGGCCCTCCTGCAGATGCTGGAGGTCTGGGGACCACACCTGGACAACTGTGATCTCTTCAAGCTCAGTCCCTCCAGGTGTCTAGAAACTGCTGTCAGGACTCCAGTGCTTTGTTCCTGCTGTTTGCTCTATGCAAGATGACTGTTATCCACACACCTCCTCTATGAACTTTCCCTGAACCTCAAGTCCCAATAAATCTCTCTTCCGATTGTGCTTACTGATATCCTAGTCATATCCCTGTGATTTCAGTACTCACATTCCATTGTTTTGCTGTGCGTTCACTGTGTCCTCGAATTGTACGAGGTAGGAAGTGGGTATTTGTTGAATGAAGAAATAAGGACAAGTCTAATTAGCAGCCCTAAGGCCAGAAAAAAAAAATAGATATAGCAAAAGGGTGGGAATAAATATAGTGGAGCAAAGTGGAGTGGGTGGGGAGGAAAATTCTTTCCAAAAGGGAATTTTGTTTTGCCAACTAAATGGAAAGCAAAAATAGACCAGGTCTCCCCAGCTGTTCTGATTGCTGTTTTCTTGCAGCTGTGCTAGAAATCTTTTTTTTTTTTTTTTAGGCTAAATTGCTAATAACCATGCCTGTAGAGTTCTTGAGGTTTTAAAAAAGAGAGAGAACAAGAAAGAAAAAGATTAATGACTTTAATTCCCAGACACGGAGAGGGAGAGTGGAGGGTGCCATACTCTGGCATAGTGCATGGAAATCTGTGCGGGCTGGTCTTCTCTCAGCAAAGATCGAGACACCTTTCCCCAAAGAAAATTAGGCAGGTGGCACATTGGTTTGAAAAACAAGTGTCGAGGAAACTAGAATTTGTTCTGGAGGCAGGAAATGTCAGCCTGTGTTTGAACACTGACCGCGATTTCTAATTCTTTGGTACCTTTATGGTGTTGCTTGTCTGCCAGGTGGACGCGGCTTGCTAACACCCTCCCTGGGCTAGTTAGCAGGGTCCTCACCGAACACCAGCACTCTGAAGTGTGTTTGTGCTGCCAGGTTTGGCCCTGTGGCCTGGCAGTTTTCCAGTGCGTTTCTGCAGAGACCCCGGAGCCCGGGAATGCGGTCCCACTGCCAACAGAAAGAACCAAGCCAAGTCCAAAGCACCCAGCACCCAGCGTCCCTGGGGACACGCGCCCCAAGCTCCTTTGTGTGCCTGGGAGTTTTCCCTGTGGCAGCAGCTTGCTGTGTGCCAGGCCTCTGCCCTGGATGATCCTATTCCCAGCCCAGCACCATTTCCATTTTTGCTTTGCCACCGTTTGGATGCCCGAGGCAGAGTCTATTGTGTTTTCCAGTCCCTTCTCTGCACGGCCAGAGCATTCTAATCGCTCAACACATGTTACTTTTTTTT